CCAAAATAGACTTTGGGCGTGACACCCAGAAATTTTTTTGCCAGCAGCTTTTCCCATATAAGGGCCCCTACCAGATTTTTTATACGAGGCCCCCTCCAGGCTAGCTACACCACTGTTAGTAATCCTTCTAACTAAGAAGTACTTTGTCAAAAAGTCGCATTTTTCGTTACTTTTGTATTTTGTCGGTGGCGGATTCATTTTTTTAAGTGTTTTTTTTCTTAAACTTTGACTCTTCGTTATATTTGTATTTTATAGAAGGATAAAAAATTATATTTTAATGTAAAATATTTTTAGTGTTATTATTAAAAAAAAATCCAATACAATTGTGAGATTTTGTATGCATGGAATGATCCATAATATTTTATATATAACACTTGCACAAATGCATTTTACACCTTCTACTTCACAAGAAACATTTAAAAACCAACACTTATTTTATAATGAGTAGTAAGCTATACCTAGTTTTATAAATATGCACAAAAATAATATATTAAAATTGACAACATTATTGAAATGAATACAGTCGATGAATATAAAAAATCATTATTAAATTAAAACTATCCTTTATTTATTTGAGCAGAGGTTCCAGAGTTTCCAAAAATCTTAAAAATAATAATTGAAAATGTTTTGATCCACGGAAAACGCTACAACTAGTTTATTTTCTCCCTTGCGGCCTTGAGTTCACGGTTTATTCACCGTAAATAAACCGTCTGTTTGTGACATTTGTAAACGGTAGTTAGACGGTGAATTCACGCACTTTTCACAGACGGTTTATTCACGGTGAATTCACAGTGAATTCACGGTGAATAAACCGTGAACTCAAGGCCAATGGAACCACTACGGACTTGGCTTTTCAATGTCGTCGTTTATTAAATATGTACTGGTAGTTTATAACTTCCAGAATAACAATATAATGTTTAAGTAGTCAGGTAAATTTATAAACCCTTTAAATTTTACTGTTGAACTTGTGAATTTAGTTTTTGTAAAATAAATGCGCTTCATCAATATTTAAGTATAAACAAATTATTTATTTAATAATATTTATAAATAAAAAAATCTTAATATTTATTATTAATTTTTTATTTAATTATTAATACCGTCTATTAGCAACAAAATTACTATTTATTAAAAAGTAAACAACCATTTACAAACAATTAAAATAATTTATTATTTACATTACCACGTGGTACTTGCAACCTTGAGATTACCGTGAATTTGCGGTGTTTTCACAGTCAATTTACGGTGTTTTCACAGTAAACTCACAGCGCTTTTACGGTGATTTCACGGTACTTTGACAGTGAATTTGCGGTGATTTTGCAAATTTGAGTTCACCGTGAATTTACCGTGAAATCACCGTGAATTAGCCGTGAAATCACCGTGAATTTATCGCAAAAACAGCGTGAGTTCAATGTTTAATTACCGTCTACAAATGTCACAAATGGACGGTATATTCACTGCACATAAACTGTGTATTCACGGTGAATTCACGCAAACGGTGAATTCACCGTAAACTCAAGGCCGCAAGGGCTTATAAGAATCATGCATCATTTTAATAAATTGTTATTAGTAATGTTATAAATATATACAGGTGACCCATTTGTTTGCGACTTACCCCTGTAAAATCTTTATTTATTGTGCGATTTTAACCGTATTTGTTTTAAAGGGTAGATCTTGATAAACTGTATTTTTGGAGCATATATTTTTACAAAATACAAGGCCTACTATGTCAGTTTTTAAGAATTAATATAAGCGATTTTTTTAAACAAAATCTAAGCACGACACTGGATTCACCATCCCTCAAAACGACCCTATACTAAATTTTATTGAAAAATTTTAAGTAGAAAAAATGCAATAATAACTACAAAAATGTTTGTCAAGTTATCCATGAAAAAAACATTGAAATAAACTAAAACTAATAGTAACAACGATCAGCGGCAACGGAGCTCACTCCACGTCTAACTCGCAGCAGAGCAGCAGCAGAGCAGCATCAGCAGCCCAGCAGATAAGACCTGAAGATGGTACATGAGATTGTAGCGAAACGTCGTCAGACATACGGTTCTTTTAAGAACCAAAAACCGACAACACGGAGCAGATCCCAAAAAACACACATAAAAAAAAATTAAATTTGTTTGATAAAACCAGGGAGCCACTGGATGTCACTGACCTATCCTATACATCATCATTGTTTTTACCTCTAAAAATAATGATATTATTCCCAGCAAAAAAGAAACAGGTATGCGCACAGTGTTATGTAATATCAGGCAAACTTTTAAACTTGTATTATCTCTAGGGCTACATGAAGTTTAGTGTAAAAGTGTAAAGCCTAATTTATAGATTGCCTTCCTTCCTTCCTTTCTGCCGTAGAAGATGAACAATACAAAAATCGTTGTGCTGTTTAAAGATTCCCGTACGGGATGTCACTGACCTTTCCTATATATCATTATTGTTTTTACCTCTAAAAACAATGATATTATTAATCCAAGCAAAAAAGAAGCAGGTATGCGCAACTCAGTTAGAAGGTACTTTGTTATCGTTGATTACTGACAGTTATAGTATCAATCGACGTAAAAAGTGAAATTTAAAATCGACGACCACGGAAACCTCGAGATACCTAACAATAAAAAGTAAGTATTGCTTTAATTAAAGTACCTAAAAATAGCTGAGTATGCAAAACAAAAAATAATTATTAACAAAGTAATCAATGATAACACAAATGTAAATTTTTAATGAGTAGATTATTGCCCACTGTGCAAGTATATTTTGCGTCAGTTGTCATAGGTCAGGAACAACCAGTGGCGGCCCAAAATTTCTACTTTACTTTCTTATTTTGGCGTGTACTATCATCCCCTTAAAGGATGACAACTTATTTGGTGACACCCTGTATATGTATATTACAGCATTAAATAAATTTTATTAATGACACATACAGCGCCCCATAAATATTTACGATATATGAAGTATTTCTATATAGTCTTATGAGTGTTATATCCTAATATGATCAATATAATCGGAATAAAATTGTTCATTTGAACTATGAAAATTGTCGAATTTCAAGAAAGTTTCATTATGAATGTGTATAATTATTTTTTTTAGTTTATTTAAAATAAACCTTGGTTTAAATCGATTAAAAAAAAATTAAAACTAATTTGAATGTTTACATATTGAAAAAACTGTAATTGCTGGTCACCCAAGGCAAAATGACTGTTAACTAGTGTATTTTATCATAGGCAGCCTAAAAAATTAAATAAGTCCTGCAATTTTGTGAATTCAAAAAAATGGTAGGTAATGAAAATTTTAAGACGAATGAACCTTTACCCTTAGGGCTATCAAATTTAAGACACCCTCATTGGCGGCCTTAAAATAAAATAACTCCTCCAATTTTGCAAATTAAAAAAAAATGAAAAGGAAAATTTCGTCTTAGATTTTTGCAAGTAATCGATTTCCGTTGTTTGCTGCGGTAATTTTGTATATTAATAAATGTTATTTTATTTTTATTCTTATATTTGTTATAATTAAAACAAATTAAATTAATAATATTTGGCGTCTTCATTAATTAATTATAATTAATTAATGAAGACGCCAAATATTATTAATTTAAATAAAGATAATAACTTGTGTAAAGAAACATTAAGTTGTAGAATTAAAATAAATTAAAAACTATTTAAAATTTAAAATTTTCAAATTATTTTTTGTTTTGGCAATGCGTTTTTCATAATTCCTGATAAAAGATTACAGTATGAGTATGAGTATGGGAACGTATGGCAGGCCCCAAATATATTATCCTCCACTAATCTCCCAGGGATATTTTACCCCCTTTCCGTTCTCCTGCGTATCCCGCCAAATCACAGCATTACCTGTGTTTGTTGGATCCGAAGTTTTTACGCCGGCTGGTAGATCCACCCTAGGAGATCGTGGATGACAGTGTCAAAGGTTAAGGCCGCTCCACGGATTTTTGTCAGCCGGGTCAGGCCATAGGTCCAGTATAGGAAGGGTTTTTGGAGGACATTGAACTGACCCAAAACTAAGTACAATCCGGAATTCCTGATAAAAGGTTACAGTACATTAAATACTTTGCTAGTTACTGTAAGCAACCTCTGAACATCCTACAGTACTGAAAACAACTAAATATGAGTCAAACAAAATGTCATTAATAAATTAAAACCTATGCTTCAAAAATTTATAATTTTATACGTTTTTTACCAATATGGCGCCCTACACGACCACCATTTTGAAAGTCGTCCAGAAAACAGGTTGTATTCAAAAGTGTATGTCCTACCGAAAATTTTAAGCTGGTACAACGGTTGACCCAATTTTTAGACAGATGCGGGGTTATAATGGGGTTATGGGATCTTAGATATCCTGTGTTACATAATTTTGAATTGTCAATGTAAAATATTGAATAATTCAAATTTTAACAAGCTAAAAAAAGAGGCTTAAAAATGTATAATGAATTCACACGTTTTTTGCCAATATGGCGCCCTACATGGCCGTCATTTTGGATTTCGTTAATATACCAGTTTGTATTCAAAAAGTGTATATCCTAAAGAGGATTTTAAGGCGTTAGTCATATTTTTAGGTGGCTTAAATTTTTGGACAGGTGGGGGGTAAAAGTAACGTAGATCGTCTCATATATATGCATATATGTATACATGTATATATATATATGTGTTATATAGGTGTCCATTGGAGTTATATGTATTGGTGGTTTTCCGGGATTTGCTTTGTGTTGTTGGTTTTTGGTTCTTAAAAGAACCGTATGTCTGACGACGTTTCGGTACAATCTCATGTACCACACATGGAGCAAATCCCGGAAATCCACCAATACATATATAAATATACATATATAGTAAATTTAATAATATTAGGTACACTTATATCTTTGAGGTTACTTTGAAAAAGCTAGATTATTATTGAATCAAAAGGAATATGTTTTAGTGTAAATAAGATGTAAATTACATATTAATTTATTTATTTTAGATTTAAGGTTAATATATATCCTATATGAATTTAATATATTTTAAGACGTAGTTTGTGCTAAATGACAAGCAAATTATAAAATATCTCATTATAAAATAAGTTAACAAATCAAGAGATAAAACCTAACAAACTTCTCATAGTAACTTTTTAAATATAAAACAAGCAAGTATTTACAGTTACATACATAAAGAAACATATACTATTAACAATTTTCACTTTGAAACATAACTTGAGTAAACATAACAATAATTATCAAAAATATGCTTATATTTATTATGTAATTAAATTCCGAATTAATTATGAAACGTTTAAGTGGCATGATATGCTTATAAAATGAGCAACTTAGCAGCAATTCTATCTTATGTTTTCTAATTTAGAAATCTAGAATAGAACACATTTTCCATAAGATGTTTTAATTGTATATATTTCAAAAGTCAGTCAATCTTTTCTAAAAAACATTTACAAAGAATTAAAAAAACAATACATACAATAAATACTGTAAAATTAACATAATAGGGAACTGTACACAAACAAAAATAATAAAAAATATCCATTTATAAAAAGCGGATTGTGATAAGCACAAAACTTTATTAATTGAAGAGTAGAAATCCAAAAGTGTCCAAGTGCCAAAAAATTAAGTAACCCATTTTTAAATTTTAAAATAAACAAAAATCGATTCTCAAAATATCTTTTTAAGATATCTTATAAAGAAAACACAAAAAATTAATTAGACAGAATTATAATGTATTTAAAATGTACAATGTACACTGTACATAATAGATTTTTAAGTAGTTGGCACTTTTGAATTTTCACTCCAAAATTATATTTTAAAAACTACTCGTATTTGTATCAGTTTAACACTATTTGTGTAATATGGGCATTTATAATTATAAATGGTCTAAATAGTTCCCCAATACACAGCCTCAAAATACTCATTTTTAATTTACACTGATACAATTTTACATGTTTATGTAAACATTACGAGTAATATTTCAATTTTTTAGCAGGAAATAAAACATAAATTAAAATAAAATTGTTTTAATGCCATGATTTTTTCATCTTTACCACTTGTTAATGTTTACTAAAACTTTTCATTTGTTTTACTGGTTAAAATTGGTTTTTATAAATAAAATATTTGGCACAACTAATGCACAAAAACACAGACAATGACTACAATATTAAGATTAAAATAATGTACAATATATACATAACTACAATAAAAATTTAATAAAATGTATCGCACCAAAAACTAAAGGTACATAAAAATTTATAAATAACACTAAATTTAACGACTAGATCTAGTACTTGTCATTCATTTTCCTTAGATCATTGTTATTCTTTGTTTGAATAAAGAATTTTATAATATTATTACATTTTACACCTAAAAATCTTCTAGTGTGTAAACTAAGTGAGTTTTGATCCCCATTTTTCAAAGGCATATTCAGGGGATTTTATGTTATACACATTCTTTCTTCAAAAAAGCAATGATCGACTCAAGCACTGGTGGAATGCACTTATGAATTTTAACAGGTACGTTATTTTGTCTTATAATGAATTGCGTGAAAGTAATGCTATACTTTCTAACACGTATTTCTTATTCTTATTTACGCAAGCAATTGCATAAATGTTGTTCGATAAAATTTCGATGTTTAGCTAAGTTGATCGGTGGCAAATCCATACACTTCAAGTACTCGGATTTCAAAGTCTCCGCTGGGACACAACGGTGGATTATTAAATGTTTGGCATCGGTCGGTTTTACCGTACCTAATATTTTCATCCATCCATATAGCTTGCCCCTCGCTAAAAATAAAATAAACAATTTACCACTATTTACAATACTTTAATTAAATACACTCACAGGCAAAATAATCGATCCACACAAATTTTCGATGAATTTCAATCGCAAATAACTTTTTTATTTGATTTCGGATGGAGAATCGCTCACATTTTAAAAAATACTAAAAAACACATGTACGTTTATAATACACAGGTTTAAACAAAAATATGTTTTTTACCATAAGTTTCAGACACTCTGTAGAGTTGGTTCACCTTGATATATTTATTTTTGTGGAAAATATGGATTTAAAAAAAAACATTGCAATTTCCAATATTTTTCCTGTATGAAGAACTAAGGTTGCTATGGTCCATCCATAGCCTATGGAGGATGACAGTGACAGTTTTGTTGAATCATCCCATACTTGGACATGTCATATACCTACAGCTTTCAAAAGCTATCAAATTGTTTTTTGTAAATTAATGTGTTAATTTTGAGGTGTCTTCTTACTTTTAAAAATGTCTTCGACTGATGTTGCCCTTTGTACTTTACTTCTTGTGACATTTAAAACTCCATGTAATACTGGTTTAAATTAATGGCTCTGGCAACAACCGTCGGAGACATATCCATTTTTTAAAGTAAGAAGGCACCTCAAAATTTAAACATTAATTTGCAAAAAAACAATTTGATAGCTTTTGAAAGCCGTGTATGACATGTCCAAGTATGGGATGATTCAACAAAACTGTCACTGTCATTCTCCATAGCCTATGGATGAACCATAGCAACCTTAGTTCTTCATACAGAAAAATATACGGTTTTGCCACTCTACAGACTCTGTAGTACAGAGTGTCTTAAACTTATGGTAAAAAATATCTTTTTGTTTAAACCTGTATATTATAAATGTACGTCTATTTTTTTGTAATTTTTTAAAATGTGAGCGATTGTCCATTAATTTATCTACAATATTCTTTAATTTTTTTTTAAATCCGACATTAAATAAAAAAGTTATTTGCGATTGAAATTCATCGAAAATTTGTGTGGATCGATTATTTTGCCTGTGAGTGTTTTAAATATTAAAAAAACAAAAAATGCCAAATTTATAGGACATTTGGGACAGAATGCTGAATTGAGAGCCCTATACAAATAACATGGACAGCGATCTTTTAACCCTTTTAAGGTACGGTTTCGTTGATGCGACTCGAGCGACTGCGGCTTGCGACTGCGATTGATCGCAGTCGCAATATTGAGTGTTTTCGTTGATGCGTCTAGTTTTATGCGATTTGGCTTAGTTTAATATGAATCTCAAATTCAAATTTAATTATTTATATTTTATATGTCTCTTAAAAAATAAACAATTTTACACTGGGTGCATATTATCAAGTGTTTTTATTTTGTGTTTATATATTATTATTATTATTAAAGGCATCAAGGCATAGTATTTTAACTTCAGTCAGACGTACGAAGTTAAAACTTGAGGGACCGATAAAATGTCATAATTTTCGAATTATAATTGGACCAATAAGAGCGCTCCCGGATGAACGACGGACAAACGGACAAACGAATACATGAAAATTAAGCTTAAGGCAACGTGCTGAGGGCTGGATTTCCGCAGGGCGCAACATGCGGTCTTTGACGTTTTCCTTGGGATAACAGGCGACCTCCCATTGTATTTAGCCTTATCCACATAATCTGGCGCTGTGTGGGACCTTTAGTTCCGGACTACTCGTGGGATTTATATGGATATACCTACAAAACATAAGGGCTCTCCGCAAGGAGAGACCTCTAAGCCAAGCTTTTAAGTGGGGATTGACGTGTCGGGCTCTTCAAAAGAGGGGACCTCACAAGGCCCCACAAAGGGGACAGGCGATACCGATTCTGGGACTTGTAAGAGTAACAGAAGCGGCGCAGCTAAGGCTAAGGCCAGGCGGCACAGGCTCAAGGCACAATCCATGGGCCGTAACAGATCTGAGGGAAGCACCCCTGAGTCGAAGGGGGCAAGGACGCTAGCGAAGAGGCCCAAGGCATCCAAATTAAACAGAAAACTCATGTTTTAAATACCTACATTATAAAAAATATTCATACAAAAGTAATAATTTAAAAGTAATTTCATTTCATTTCAAATAATAAACAAATTAGCGACCAACCAATATTAAAAATTCCATTATACATCAAATATGTACCAGTTCAAATAGAATTAAAATTGTTTAGCTTAGGAAAAAATTGTATATAAATACCAAAACTTACTTACAATAAACCAGTTACAATCTAACTCAACAACGAGACTTTTACTACCACTGGGAGGTGAGCAGCATCAAAGACTCATCTTTGTACTCACCCAGTGGTTGGTAAATTCATTTAACAGCCTTACTGTTAAAGAATGTTTTGTATAATGATAGTTTTAGAGAAGATTTTTTTAATAATTGTTTAGTTGCCTTTTTTGTACAACCTAAAATAACTGTGGGAGGGTTAAGAATTCAAAATATTCTCATTTTACACTTTTCTGCAGCTTTGCATGAATATGATAATATAAGTCCACAAAATAAGATTAAAATACCCATTAAATTAAAAATTACCCTTACCCTCCTCCAATTGTAATCATTTTTGAATCAGCAGCCATAAATAATTCCGCACCATGCTGAACTTTATCACCTTCCATGCCAACCCATGGATATTTTGCCCTTTCAGGGTACAAAGAAAACAAGAAAGTTTCGCCTGTTCCAAAATATGCCTGTCTATTGCCTCGGTCGTCTTTTTGATTTCTCTCCCCCCATCGGGAAGAACAGTAAGCACCGAAGACCTGAAAAAACAGTTACATAAACAATTTGAAAAAAAAATGTGATGCGGACTTACCTCGTTATTGCATGTCTTAATCATCAATAGTGTCGGTTCGTGCTGTTCCACTCGAACGTAGAACGTTGTCAAGGAACACCCATGTTCCTCCGTCGTGTACAACAGAATTGGTTGGTACATCGTAATTCTCACGGGTAACCAGGACCATAAAGTCAATAGCTAAACGAAGTCCCGAAAAAAACATATAATTGTCAAATGTTATTCACTAAGTAGCAGAAAAAACAGACAGTAAGGCTATGTAAAGAAGTATTCACTTAATTATTTTCATACAATGTAGACTAACACAACGATGGCGATTTGTTCGTTTTTTTAACAAATGGGCAAATTTCATTTGATGCCACTGTAACTTTAGGACTACCAAAAAGTGTCTAAACATTTACAATAATGACTAAAATAGGATTAATATACATTAGGGGTGGTCATAATTTAGACAATATCGGAGGTTGCCCCTTTTTACACAAACTAAAAGTTAGACTAAAAATAATTAATTATTACAGCTCTAATAACCATTTTTTGAGTTAACGGACTATTAACTATCAGTTGTTTAAAATGTAACAGTCTAAGAATAGCGGTAATGGAGCCTACACAAGGAGTCCGAACCTCATGTATATGTCACAGTCAAAGTATACATTTCAGTAGATGTATACAAAAATTAGCTAGTGTACTTTTACTAGTGTACGATTTTTTTTAAATTTCACATTTTAATTATTATTGTAATGTGAGATTTAAAAAAAAATCGTAACAAGCTTATGATATTTGATAGTTTCATTTTACTCTTATATTTTACCTACCCCCCTCACGATTTTTTTTTAATTTCACATTTTAATTATTATTGTAATGTGAGATTTAAAAAAAATCGTAACAAGCTTATGATATTTAATAGTTTCATTTTACTCTTATATTTTACCTACCCCCCTCACGAAATTTTTTTCTGTCTACGCGCCTGAGCGAGATACACATGCTTAGCCGGACACCCTGTAGAAAGGTTTTAGGTATTTTAATATTTGAATATCTAAATATTTTTACTTTCGAATCGAATATTTGAATACTCGAATATTCAAATAGGTACTCGAATATTCGAATACTCGAATTATTTGTAATTGATTTTCCTTTATTAAAAACATCCCTAACATAATGTATATATTTTAGTACACATAAAACATTTTATTTTTATTTTGATCAAATTTTGGATTTTAGATTTGTGCCCTAAAGTTTTCATAAAATACAACCTCGAATACAACTTTATTATTTACAGGAGGTTGCAATATAAGATGACCACTAACCTAAGTGTAATTTTACCGACGCGACAAAGCTTAGCCCCAAAAATCATTATCAAGTTAACATAATTATGAACATATTAATGTGAATTACTGATGGCCTTACTGTCGTTTTAATTTACAACCAAAGCTACCAATGCTTTCAATTGTTAAAAAATAAAATAAAGTAAAGCTCTTATTTCCAGCAAATACATGCAAATAAAAATATTAAAGAATAGTAGATTAAATCATTTTATTCCCATAAAAAAATAAAGAAGAAAGCTTACAAATAATGTACATGCTATTAATGAAAAGTTAAGAACAAATTCGTGCAATGACACTGAACATGAATTTATATAATTACACTGGTCAAAAAAAATAATATATTTGTTTGCCACAGGGCGCCAATAGCTTTTACAGGGTAATTTGGGTGCGCTGATTAAAAAAATGACCATCATTTTGATCAATTAACTATTGTTTTCATAATATTGTGGAAACCCCATTTTTCGACATGCAAACATTAAAATTCATGTAATGCATATAGTATTTATTATACACTTTTATAAAGTTTTTCCCTGTTTTAAACGAAACAAAATCTTTTTTGATAAAATTTGATGATTTTTAAAATATAAAGTGCTGCAACACGAACAATTTTTGTCCGATTTGATAAAATTTACAAAATTTTGTATATTCATCTATCTACTTTGTTAAAATTTCAACGCAATAATATACAAATTGGCATAATGTGTTAAAATTTATATTTGCGGTGATTTTTGACGCTTGTACGACTTTTTTAAAAAATGCTTAAGGATCCACTATTTCTTCGAAAAAAAAACATGCTTGCCATTTTTTTACATTTATTTTATTTTGTGAAAAACAGGATTTTAAGGGAAGCAACTTTATGAATGGACCTATAGCTACACTACTTATAATGCAATTGCCTGAGCTACTTCGGCGGGTGTGGTATCCATTTTTATGTAAATGTCACGAATAATTAGGTTAGGTAAGTCGATTTTAATAAGCGACTAAGAAAAAAATTAGCGGATATCTGTCCAAATTACATGCGTCGCGCGCACTTTTTAAATGAACGAAATTTGCAAAACCCGTTAAAGTTGCACATCGTTTTAATGGGTTACCCGATTAATACAATGATATCAGTTTTTAAGGCCTAATAGTAAGGGAAATATTTGCACTTACAATGTTTTTATTTATATCCTCCTTAGAGTAAAAATAGAGACGGAAATGCAAATGCACCTAGGGAGTCGATTGTTTTGCAAGTGTATATAAACGAATTTTAATGTTTGCAGGTCGAAAACAAGATCTAATTAAGCAAAATGTTGTTTTTGGAATCAGCCAATCCAAATTACCATAGTAAAGTTGTTAGCCACCGCGTGGCAAAATTGCTGTCGACCAGTGTTATCTAAAACTATCAATCAATCATTTTCATTTCTATATTATAATATTTAATCCGATGGGTCGATATTTACCATATCATGTCTCTGTGATTTCATATAAAAAAATTAAATCCCTTAATTTTTTACAATTATTATGTGGATACATTTAATCATGGCAGTTTTATTTATGAATTATATAAATATTTAGATACCAAGGTAGTAATAATATATAAACACTATACTTAATTTTTGTAACGATTTTATAGATTGCGAAATCGCAAAATAAAGCTGAATAGGCAATTTTCAAGAATAAAACATTACCATCTTAAATATAACTGTTAACAACATCAAATAGTTATTTTTGAGTAATTTGGATTGTATACTGTATTTATTTAAAAAAAATTAGCTTAGGTGATATAAGTTTAAAATAAAAAGTTACTGTGTACGTATGCTGTGGTGTGTAGTGATTGCATAGTTCCTGTGATTGAAACTTACGTCCGGATGGCTGAGTATTGTCGATGCGATATTCTGAATCGGGTATATACCCATCGATAGGGTCCTAGGACCTGGAGAATGGGCTCCCTTTATAAGCAGCAGGAAAACAATCACAAAAAAATGACGCTAACCACATCAAACACATGATATAACAACAAATATTGGTTTCAGCCACATTCATAATTTTAATTAATTCAATATATTCATATAAAAATACCTAATTTTAATATGGGCATGCCTTAAATTGCAATCCATATATTTTAATAATACTAGTTTGTAAGAATTTCCTCGTTAAACCAAAACTTCTTTTCAAAGGGTAAAATTTCGTGCTGATTTTAAAAAACATAGTGGTTTTTCTGGTTTCAAGATACGCATGAAATCTCAAAAACAGAACAAAAAAAATTTAATTTGAAAAATATTGTAAAACATAAAATTTTACATCGCTTTAAATATTCGTAATTAAATTCTCTGGAACATAAAGTTGATAACTTTTAAAAAAGTTGAAAAAAATTGAAAAAACTTTTTCATACTTGTTTTTAGCCATGGCGGCCAAACCACTGATGTGATTCATAAGTTTTATTACATTATTTGTATTACACTTTTCTTTATTTCAAACATCAGCTGCATATTTGTGATGTATTTTTTTTCTATCTGTAACAGTGCTGAACCAGAAAAACCACTAGTTTTTCGGAATCAGCATGAAACCTTACCTTAGAAAAAGTGGTTCTGGTTAAACGAGGAACAACTTTGTCGAATTTTGTAAGCTAGTATATAAAACAAAATTTTGAAAACATTATTACTTAAAAACACTAGTCATTACTTTTTGGGTGGTGTGTAATATAGCCCTGTCATCATTCAGTTGTGGCTTTTTATCCTAGGTCACTTTAATATTATAATTATTCATATGAAATAAATATTTAAAACCTATGTTACAACTAAAAGATGGTTAAACATTTTTGAAAACAAAATTATTATTTTTTTAGGTTTTCAATAAATTTCATGTTTAAAGCATAATTTTAATAGTTTAATTTTTTTTTCAAACTAAGGGTTGTTCAGAAAGTACGTCACTCCTTTAAGGGGACGATAGTTTGTAATATTACATGGGGCCCGGATCGTGCGCCACGTGGCATCAAAGATATAAAAATATGTCACGTATTTGCAATATTTTCTTTTTTGTTAGGTATATGAAGATAAAACAGAGTATAACGTAATGTTGGAGGGCGGTCGAGACAGGAGGGAGAGGGACTGAAATTCCCAAAAAAATGGACGACCCCATACAGCTACTTTGTTTTTTGTATTCAAAAAAAGTGTTTGGACCAAAGGCAATGACAAATATTAAATTTTATTTAAAACATATTAAAAACAAAACGTTAATTTATTAATAATAATTGATGTTTTTTTTTAATATATGATCTAAACCGTTATTTAAATTTTCCTAAAGAATTATTAATTTTTATTAAATAAATTAACGCTTTTTTATTTTGTTTAATTTAACATATAAAATACGAAAATTGTAAGTAATAAAATCCTGAGTGAGTTCATTTCAGGTAGGTAGTGATTTCTTGTCATATTTTAATTAACTTCATGAAGTTTATTATATTCATTTTCTTTTCCCTTAAGCTTGTAATTGTTTTTCATAAAAAAGAATGAGGTGAAATGTATTTTGAAATTTTTATGTAAATATTGCTAACAAACATACCAAGTTTCATTAAAAATAATTGATAAGTGAGAAGTGATTTTTCAAAAGGCCTTATTTCCATTTTTACTTGAATGTAATTTTTTTACAAAATCCCAAAGGTATGGTTAAAAGGCATATATTAACGGCGAAATATGACAGCAGGTCTGAAGTTTTATTAAATTTTCATCAGAATTTTTTTTTAAATAATCTATATTGCCCTAACCTATACAGGTTATATTACATTTTTTTGAAAAATTGTTGCAAATGGAAATACGACCTTTTGAAAAATCACTCCTTAAGTCTCTTAAATACAATGCAACTTTTTTTCATAAAACATGACAGGAATTACAATCTAAAATTAGTCATCATCATTGATAAACTCTGTATAATTAACCAGAATAATGTCCAATTTTTAGAAGTTTTAGAAAGTTAATAAGATTAAATATCTCATATTTATAAAATATGCATGGAAATGACTCATCCACCAACCTTGACAACCTACCTTTTGTCTTCAGCTACTTCAGGGCCATTTCAGGCATGCGGACGGGACAAATCACAAAACTGTTTTCATAAAAAAATTTTTAGGTAATTTATTATACCTTTAATACTTTGGCATCAAAATTGTTAAAAAAAATTCTTTTTTTTTGTCCCGTCCACACCTTTTAATTATTACAATTATCTCTACTTTTATAAAATATTTCTGGGCCAAAAAAATCAACTACTTTTTTTTTGGAAAGTATATCGGAAATATGGTTTGGGGCGACAAAAAAGAATTATTGTGAAAGTTTGAGTCCATAATATTATTATTAAGAGGTCTATCATCGCAATTTTAATTTTTTGTCCCCTCATCAAGTTTTTGTCTCAGAACTCCCAAACCATTGAGTTTAACAAAATTTACTTGAAAATATTTTTTTAAGAAAATTAAATGCTCTACAAAAAAAGGTTAAATAAAATTTTTCGTCAGATGAACCGTTTCCTTAAAATCATGCCCTAAACATTGGTATAGTTTTACATTTTTTGATCTTTTAACTTTGGAATTTTGAAATTCACGTAAAAATCAGTACCCATAAAAAACCGATAAATATTCTTATGTGAAATCAAATGCTTTACAAAAAAAGCCTCTTAACATTTTTGGCTAAATTCACTCAATCAAAAGTTATTCAAGGTTAAAGTTGAAGTCAAAACGAAATTCTTGCCAAATTTAACCTTGAATAACTTTTGATGGAGTGAATTTAGCCAAAAATGTTAAGAGGCTTTTTTTGTAAAGCATATGATTTCACATAAGAAATTTTATTTAACCTTTTTTGTAGAGCATTTAATTTTCTTAAAAAAATATTTTCAAGTAAATTTTGTTAAACTCAATGGTTTGGGAGTTCTGAGACAAAAACTTGATGAGGAACAAAAAATTAAAATTGCGATGATAGACCTCTTAATAATAATATTATGGACTCAAACTTTCACAATAATTTTTTTTGTCGCCCCAAACCATATTTTCGATATAATTTTCAAAAAAAAAAAATAGTTGATTTTTTTGGCCCAGTCTAATGTACAGCCTAATAAAAGAAGAATATTTTTGACAATTTTGATGCCAAAATATTATATAATAAATTATCTAAAATTTTTTATATAAAAACAGGTTTGTAAATCGTGCGCGCCTGAGATGGCCGTTCAGCACGTTTTTAAGAAATTTTCGATACATTTTTAAGTTTTCGAGAATGGCATTGGAAATATTAAAAATTTTACCTTACATAGAGAAGTATGATTTATTTTAATTAGTAAGTTAAAATGATTTTTATGTTCTTGTGCATTGAGATGAAATGAATTGTTATACATTTATGTAGCTTCAGTGATCTTAGCCTTCTAATATTAATTTAATTGGTAGGGATATAAATTACCTAATAATATTTAATTTTTGAGCATAAACAAAAATAAAATGTGTCCGATTTTCAATATATTTATAAATTTCTAAAAATAACTTACATCTTTTAACATTCTAAGCATGGAATCCAATATAGAACAAAACAAATTATGTACCTATATTATTTTTTACTAAAGCAGTCAAGTATAAAAAATATATTTTAAAAATAAATAAAATGTTTTCTTGACTGGTTTTATCAACAATAACATAATATAATAAAAACTTCTTTAAATATAATGGTTAAATAAAAAAATTTAAATATTGAGCTAAGATCACTGGTTTAAGCGATGATTATTTTAAACACAGGACAGAAAAACATTCTCATACTCATGTTTATAAAAAATAATACAATACCATTTCATTGTACATCTCTTCTGACATTCTCTGAAATGTATAAACGAATGTCTCTAAACGAAGTTATAACAATTTTATTTAGTACATTTAGATAACAACCGATTTTTATAATAAAATTCTATATAAAAATGTTTACTACAAAATAATTTAAATGTTAGTATCAAGTTGTTTAATAAATGCACTAAACGAGTTAAAATAATAATAAATAAAAGGTATAGTTGTTTCTCAAATAAGTGTTTGATAAGTGTTCTTGTACATTATAAAATACACTGTATTTATTTATACAGATAAGTATGACACATTACTAAATGCTATTTTGATTTACAAAAACGTATAAAAATTCATTTTAATTAAATTTTGCTGTTCCAAGTAATGTAAAGTCGAATAAAGCGTTAATTTAAAGCTCCGAATGCGCCTTTTATTGGTTTTTTAAGTTATCCTTTGGTTTCCTACCCCTTGTATGAATATTTCTGCTGAAGTGAACTTTAGCCCATGACTAAAACGCCATAAAGTCACTGTGTTAGACTCCCACTTCCACTGGGAGTACATAATAGTATATTAAGTTTAAGCATGATAAACGGCATTTTAGTCACGAGTTTAATTAGGCACGAGCGAGTGTTTAATAAAAACCAATGTCTAGACAAGTTTATAAAGAAGTTGCATAATAAACTTTTTTGTCAAGTAGTTAAAAATGCGCCGATTATTTTCGCAATTGTTAATAATCAATGACATTCATTTCTCTCGCTGTGAACAATCTTACTCCTTCCTACAATATTATTTCCTCTCTGTTATCAGGTAAGAAATGTTTCATTTCCCCACGCTACCATGAAAACGCTACAATGTGATTGACTTTGAATGTAAACGTTAGAATGAAATTAAACGTCAGATTTATACTTTGCGGGTACCCAAATTGTGTATTTGTAGTTAATTCCACTAGACAAAAAAGTAGTGTTTACCTCGCGTGGAATCGCAATTACTCCCTCAATGAATTCCTTCACTCGCCTATACTTTACTATACCCTTAATCATATTAAATAATTTGTTCATTTCCTATACGTTTCCAGTTGAGAAAGTGACTCAGTCTTAAACTGTGGATAAAATTGATCGCTTTTTCTACGAGTATTGTCCAATGAGACGAGATTTTAATTTTCTTCACGGTAGTTTTTGCTTTTGCACAAGATTTACATATAACCATAGAGTCTTTTAAAAATTCGTTTTTAAACTCGAGCAACCAAATATGATCATTTTGATGGCTTTTAAATTGATTATTACAGTATATTTTTTATGAAAATCTCAACAAACAATTTTTTAGAATTTCCAATTTTGTGCACAAAAATATGGCAGTTTTTAGTTTTAATGAAACTTTAATTTGTAATAAAGACTTATTATTAAGTTGTAATTTATTTATTAAAATAGGTACAATGTTTTATTTTTACTACATTGGCACCGCTGAATTTGATGTCATTTATCAAACTCTTCAAATGTTCTGTGATGGAGATCATAGATGACCGAAGGTTCTGTGATGGAGATACTACTTTAAAATGACGTCTTATATATATAGTGCCAGTGACATTTATATACTGTGCAAATGAATAAACGTAATCCAATTTAACGGTAATGACATATTTGGCTAACAATAAAATAAAATAGTATATTTATTGTGTTACATAATTTATGAATCAAGTTTTATAAAGCCGTTTTTGTTAAAATTTTTGTTAGGCACGAGCAAAGCTGGCGAGCGAGTGTTAATAAAAACGAGTGTCTACAGAAGTTTATAGAACGAGTTGTAACTAGGTAGATATACTTTATCTATGACAAACAAAAAAATAATTTAAAACCAATTTAATAATCTGACAAATTTAAGCCCACTTTTTCGCAATTTATAATAGGCCGTGACTAAAATGCTTAAAATCCACTCTTGCTAATTTCGGCCCGTGACTAAAACGATATATAGTTACAGCGTGTCAATGTGTGAGAACAAAATAGTATATTATGTATCATATTATGTATCTTACTTTTTCCTTATTTATAATAAAGCTAACTTCAGCCCGTGACTAAAATGCCAAAAAGCCATTGTTGCTAACTTCAGCCCGTAAATAAAACGCTATGAAGTCACAGCTTATCAATGAGGAAGTAGATAATATTATATTATATAATATAATATTATGCCTAATAAAACCCGTAAATTAAATGGCGTTTATAAAACTTGATACGTATGTATTAGGCACGAGCGAAGCTTGCGAGCCAGTGTTTAATAAAAACGAGTGTCTAGAGAAGTTTATAAAACGATTTGCATACTATACTTTATCTACGACGAACAGAAATAAAAATTTAAAGCCAATTTTAATTCATAAATAAACTGCTCAAAAATTAATAGGGAATTCTTAATTAAAGTTTTTTAATAATAAATTAAACATAAAATGTTTTTATGCGGGTTTTTCGCACTCGTCAAGAAAAATTTAAAACGCTTTGTAAACATATTTTCTATTGAAGTATAACAACTCATATTGATCAGAATTCATATTTTCCGTCGAGTTTAGTGCATATTTATGTTATATTAAAATATCCTTATCAACTTTTAAGTAGTTTATTTGCCATCTGACGAATTTAACCTAACTTTTTCGCAATTTATAATAAAGCTCCTGACTTAAATGCCCAAAAGTCAGCCTGTGACGAAAACGCCATAAAGTCACAGCTTGTCAGGAGTAGGAGTAGATAAAAGTAATTTGTTTATTTCTTTATTTATATTTTATAACTGAAAACCAAACACTTATGGGAGAAACACCCAAAAAAACTTTTGATAAATTGGTATACAAGATATATCTTACAACAAAATCTATTTAAAATATATTGAAACCAAAAAAAATAAAAGTAAAAGAAATTCTTTAATATTAAATTAATCAATTTATCAGAAGTTCTTCATTCTGAATATAAATTTAAATGTATATTTTTTAATAAAGAGGAAGTAGATTTTACAAACAATGTTGTAAAGTGTAAATCTTAATTATGGTTAATGTTTGTTAAAAACTGTACAAAAATGCAAAACAATAAATAATTAAAACCAAACAAATTATATATACAAAAAAGAAAACCATACACCGATTTTGTTATTAAAGTATTAGAAAGCAATGATTATAAGCAAATATATTAATTATTTATATTTTATTTAATTATTTATATTTTATTCAATTATTTATATCTAAAATAAAGTTTATTGCATCTATAATAATGGTGCATTTAAATAATAGTAGTAGAAAAACATTAAGGAAAAATTATTACCCATCTATATACAAATCTTTTGCAATAAAACACTATTTCAAATAAAAATATTTAAATTTACACGTACTTTTAATAAGCCTTAAAATTATTAAAATTATAAAGAAATATTTTTTCAAATACCTACTTAAATAAATAATTATCTGTATATCTAAAAAGGCTTATTATATAATTATTTTAAGAATTTAATCATTTTTAACCTTTTTAATTTGAGCATTTTTTGCTTTTAGAATCTATTCAATATTGGATGACCTAGAACCTAGATCATCCAATATTAAGTGTATATGGTATGTACTAATTACTATATAGTAAAATTAAGTTTAATTATCAAAATATTATGAAATAATAAAACACTGTCTTACCTCTCTAATAGTTAATGTGTGCGATACCATTTGTATGTTGGTTTGGCTTTGGCTGTTAGGTAGATTTTCTGTTGATCGAGACCTGACAATTTGTTTGGACCCGTGTATCACATGTTTGCTCTTCAGGAGCATCTCAGTCTTAATAAAAATACGGGATATCGAAGAAGAGCTAAGGCCCCTAATCCCAAACGCTACCTAAAATGTAAAGACAATTATTTATAAATATAAATTTTTTAAAACTATGATCGTCGCACATGAACAATAATATGTCCCTTCAAAATTGAAAATAATTACAATAATTTAAATTTAATTTATATCACAAAATTTATATTTTGCTAAAGGTACTACCATTTTTTAAAAAGGGTTCATTGAGAATGTGATGAAAACGTGAAATTTAAAAAGGTTGATTTTTTCTGACCCGTACGAGCACGAAAATGCAACAATCAACGAATAATGGTGCTTTTTCTACGTTTCCAAAAAATACCTTCTTCTTCTTCTTCTATACTTTTTATTCTCTCTTTCGAGAGAATTGGACTTGAGCCGATTAGGCTCTTACTGCCCAGTTACTAGTTTTAACGTCCAATGATTTCCGAAGAACCAAAAACCATTGGACAACGGTTTTCCAGGGCTGGATGCTCCCGTGTACGAGTTTTGGTTCGTCCCGCGCATGACGTCCCTTGATGAGTAGTTGCCGTGCGAATACACGAATAATAGTAATATTATCAAAGAAAATAGAGAAATTTCTGGACATAGTGCGTTTTTATTAAACTTAATATTGAAGAAAGCGTTATAATATGGATAATAAATGCTTTCAGTCCTTGATAACATTTAGGGCTGTAGTTTAAGCGTTGGTGTTTTAAATTAAACTTATAGTCACTGTCCAGAAAATGTTTATAGGAAACAGAAGCGGTCTTAACGTAAATATTGTCTATTATTTTTGTGGCATTTAAACACTGTTTCCACAAATCAAACTTTTTCGGGAATAGATTAAATTTAATGTTTTTATTTAAAGGGTTTTTCTTGGACTGGTTGTCCGAATTGCATCCAAATATGCCACACCGCATTTTAATAAATGCAAATGGCACTATACAATCTAAAACACAAACAAAACAAGTTAACGCAACACAAAAACAATAATAAACAAACCTAACAAGTTAACCTAACGCAATAACAATAATTTGAACGCTGAAAAGTAATTCGAACCTTACCGAACACAAAAACGACAAGTTGAACAAAAAGTAGAGCAAGTTAACATCCAAAAGCATCGCAAAAACAAGAATTTTAGCAGTAGATAATTAAAAAGCACGTTAAAGATTTAAAAACACTCATCAAGTGACGTCATTAAGCCCCGCCCAACATGCGCACCATCCTATCTTAAGGTGTATGTATCTTGACGGTTTTCTAACGAACACGTGGACACAAATAGGTTATATAACCTTGAAATTTATATGTTCATATAAATTCCTCTATTCCTTTAAAAAAGGACAAAACGAGGAATATTATCTAGGACTGGAATCCGATTTTGTCCTCCCTGAGTCAAAGTCAACTATATTTCACACTTTTTCATGGAGCTATGCACGCGCGATGCGCTTCTCACCGAGGATAAAATCGAACTCAAAAAATACCTTAGAAAAGTAATTTAATTGGAAGAAAGTGAGGTTGGATCGGTCTAAATTTGTTAGATATTAATCACAGAGATGTCGCCACCAGTGTTTATTCCGTCATCCGATGATCCATTCTGTCAGGAATATGTGTCATTCCACATTAAAAAGTGATATTAGAACGGTCATATTCCGTAATAGGAGTAGAAAAAACACTTTAGCTCTCTCACACAGTCTTGAAAGATAAAGAAGGGCAATATTTTCTCTGTAATATGACAAAATTTGTATTTGTATTTGCATTAACTTGTTTTGTTTGTGTTTTAGTTTGTGACGTGCCATTTGCATTTATTAAAATGCGGTGTGGCATATTTGGATGCAATTCGGACAACCAGTCCAAGAAAAACCCTTTAAATAAAAACATTAAATTTCATCGATTCCCGAAAAACTTTGATTTGTGCAAACAGTGGTTAAATGCCACAAAAAAATAGACAATATTAACGTTAAGACCGCTTCTGTTTCCTCTAAACAATTTTTGGACAGTGACTATAGGTTTAATTTAAAACACCAACTCTTAAACTACAGCCCTAAAAAAGGACTGAAAGCATCTATTATATATTATTACATATTATAACACTTTCTTCAATATTAAGTTTAATAAAAACGTCCAGATTTGTGTATTCGCACTGCAACTACTCATCAAGTGACGTCATGCGCGGCACCAACCAAAACTCGTCCACGGGAGCATCCAGCCCTGATCGATTGTTATCTGTTGAAAGCACACCATAGACAATGATTGACAGTTAAAATTCAAAATTAGATTCTGTTAAATATTGATAGTTTTTCTAATCTATGGTTTTATTAGTTTCTGACAGGGAGTATTTGCATCTGTCAAGTCTGACGTAAACCTCTAAATAAAAGTAACAAATTTGACATTACTTATAACGTTATTATTGGAGCTACAAATAACGTTTTTTAAATGTCATCACCCTGTATATTTTTACATATTTTAAAATATAATTTGCAACAAAAAATTATTATTGCTTAACTACCCAATACTAAACAATTAATAAGCACTTGAACTTTCTAAAGGTTTTTAAAGTAAGTGCTTAAAGTACTTTTCGCCAACGATGTTGGCATCAAGCAATCATCAAGCACTTTGTGTTTTGTTTTGGTGTCTTTCAAAATAGGTAAAAATAAACAGAGTGTTCTATTTTTCATAATATCTTTGAAACCCCTTTATTTAATATTTTTGTAAATCTTTTTAGGTGACAATTGGGCATAAAAATACATTTTTTCTCCAACCGTTAAAAAACGTCACATTTTTTTTACATTAGTCGGTGGCGCACTAGGTTATTTATGAACAAAGTAAATTGACAAAACATAATGCAACAAAAAAATAAAATATTAATATTATCATTTTAATAAGGATTTAGAAAAAATGTTGTATGCACCTTATGCATGTAAAGCATAAGTTTTTACTTTTAAATCTATATAATAACTATAAAAGCACAAAATTACTCACAACTATAATTAGAATAATTAAACAGTGAAGTTTTAAAATAATGATTTACTTGAGATTGGATTAAATTGCGGCATTCCAATAAACATAAAATCGAACTTTCAATTACAGGCAACATATGCTCATTTCGTGTGTTTACGTTTATTTTATAAATGAATAAATATCAGTTCTATATTTATTTCAGGATTCATAATTCCTATCGTGCCGATCATTCTTGAGCCAAACGAACGTTTAACTCTACTTCTCTTTGCATTTCATGATTTTGCTTTGTAAGAAAAAATAATTTTCATGAAAATTACGCTAAATATAATCACATCCAGCATGTATCATTAATTTTAGAAAAGCAACAAGGTGACCTAAATCCCTTCAATACTAAAATGACCTATTCTGCTGTGGGCAGCTAGTGCATAATATACCTTTAATACTTTCTGTGGAGTAACGGGCATTTCTTTGCAGAATTTGTTCAGTGCTCCATCAATACCATTTTTTTGAATTTCAGCCAACCATTCCGACGACGATGAGGACGAACTTTTTTGGAATAAAATTAATATCGCCATTGCCATTCTGTAAAAAACCTAAAATAAAATACCAAGCATTTTAATATGGTTATTATATTTAAAAAAAAAAAAAATAACATAAAATGCAGAAAAAATTGTACGGCAAAATTTTAGCTTTATGCAAATTATTTTATATTTGTCAAATAATTATTTAAAAACTTAATATTTAAAATTACTTGATAAACAAAATAATTAAATAAAAACATATAATGCAAGCAAAATTGCATAGGCAAGATTTTAGCTTTTCCTGTATTTAAAATTTAATTATTAATTAATTATTTGTTATTATTAATTAATAACTTAATAATTACTCTTTCTACATAACATACAAGTTAAGAAAAATAAAATTATTTTTGTTTATTATAATAAAATTAACTTTTTGTTCAACAGTGTATAGTTCCGCGAATCCCAAGGTGCATAAATTATGGGCACACCCATATCTCAGTTATTAGAGGGTTATTATGGGACCCACATCATTATAATGACATTATATAATATAATATTATAGACAAGTTCTGCGCAAGCACAATTTAAATTGAAGTTTGCGAAAAAAAATTTGTTTTTAAGTGTTTCCCCCAGCCTCCTGCGCCCCAAATTAAGATAATTCAAATTAAAGTGGAACAATATTTAATTCACTGAAGTTTATCGACAAATTTCAAATTTTATTAAAAAAATTCAAGAATTACAGGTTTTATACCATTTCTGTTTGATATTGAGACTATATGTAGCAACTAAGGAGCCTTCCAAAGAGTTGCTCTCACTCAGTATATTATTAGAGTTAATGCATTTACCTGGTTCCAAATCAAAACTTAACCTCTGTGTATCAGGTTAGGGGACATCCATTAATTACTTGAGGTATTTATCTGATAATTAAGACCCCTCCCTCCCCCTTGGTGAACTTTGGTGAGATGTGGTAGACCCCCCTTATCCCTCACGTGAGATTCTAGCCATTAAACTTTCTTTGCGGACAACATGATAAACCAAAAAAATAAAAATTGATTACTTTTTTTGACGTGAGATTTTTAATGACCCCCCCTCCCTTAACATGAGATTTGGTGAGATTTTGCTCCCCCCTATTTTTATTTCACGTAATTAATGGATGTACTAAGTAAGTGTTGCCAACCCTATTGCAACTAATTTCCCTTGAAAATGTTCAAAAATTCCTTTTTTTCCCACAATTTTTGAAATATGCTGTTACCCGTTTTTTAAAATATAAGAGATATTATTTTGCAAAAAATTTAGCAACAGTATTTATTAGTAAACCTATAAAAAACAACGTGTATAAATACAAAATTATATGTAAAATAAAATGACCTAAGGGGCCTCGGTGGCGCAGTGGGTTAGGCGGCTATGCCGAGACAAACTGCGTCCGAAAGGTAGCGGGTTCGATTCCCGGTCACAGCCTTGGGTGTTGTGCGCGTTGAAAGTCGGTAGATGAGTCTAACTCATCGAGGACCGTGGTTCGGATTCCACGTTAAACAGTAGGTCCCGCTGAAGAACCGAACCTTATAGGCTTTGCCTGTAAGCTGGATAGGTTGATGGCGTTACTACTCTACTTTACTTTTTAAAATGACCTATAAAACAATTTGCCATATTGATAAAAAAGGATATATCCTTATGCTTATATTTGTAAAATATGAAGGAAATCCTTTAGCTTGTAAATACATTATATGTATATAAAAGCTGAAGGATTTCGTTCATATTTTGCAAGTATAAGCATATTCTTTCTTTTATATATACGGCCTGTTGTTTTGATCTTTAAAAGAATACATATTTTTATTATGTAAATACAAATAAAGTTTTGTTACATTAAAAAACGAAAAAAAGTCATAAAATATAAAAAATCCAAATTATTCGATTAGAAAAAGTAGGAAAGGGTTAATTATAAATTTTCATTTTGAATTGATATAAATTTTCCTCATGGACGGCCTTTTTTAAAAATATTTCCCTTTTTCCCATTTGTCTCAATTTGAGGTAAAATTTCCCTCAAAATGGGAAATTTCCCACGAGTTGGCATCACTGAGACTGGGTTCCCAAACGCAATGCTTATTTTTGTCATCCCGAAAACATTTTATTAGCTATGCTAGCTGATAACCGAAAGTATGTTTGAAAATTGTGTTTGAGGCGTATATTGAAGTGCAGATTCCAAGAATATCACAGAATGCTAATGATGATTTTAGATTTATCTGAGATAATCGACAAAGCAAAATATCCCTCCCATACACAAGTGGTTAAAAGATGTATCAAGTTGGTGACAGAAGCTTCGGGTTCAGACTGCGGACGAGAATCAAGAGATGGATTCATACACGCAAGAATCACATCTCGACAAAGTTTTACCGCAGTTTGAAACAATGCAAGATTTTGTTAAAACTCTTAGACAATTAACTTTATATTATTAATTTTTAAATATAAACTTCAAAAACTTATTATTGATTCTCAAATTTTGATGAATTGTTGTTGGTAATTCAGCAGACACGGATGCAGACGAACGGAAAATAATACAAGACCAGCAAGAATAGGTCGTAGCATCATACTACCAAGCCTCATTCAAGAACCCCAATTGAATGGGTCTATTACTAAATCCCTGGATGAGGAGGATTTCGAATTGTACCTAGTTTTTGGTCAGTTCAATGTCCTCCAAAAACCAACATGTTTTCCCTCCTTGTCTTGCAATCCACTAGCCTAAATTGGGCGTATGGCCCGACCCGGCGACAAAATTCCGGGAATGGCCTTAACCATAGACATTTTCATCCACGACCTCCTAAGGAAGAACTACCAGACGGCGTGAAAATTCGGATCCAACAAACACAGGCACTGTGCAGTTGGGAGATCAGTGTAAGGCGATGTCGATGGGGCCTGCCGTACGTCCCCATACTCATATAATAAATTTAACTTTTTGGCAATTGGCTATAATGTATAGATAGGTTACGCATTTAAAAACCCTAAATAAATAAAAAATAAAAGTTAGAAAGTGAAAAATCGCAATTAAAAATATAATCCAATAAAATATATTTAAATTTATGATGTAACCGTTGGATCCTATATCTTTGCCTAGATGCCCAGGTATAAATTAAGTTTATAAATTAAAGGGTATAATTTTCTAAATCCATGATTCTAATAAAAAAATTGAGCATCGTAAACAATTAGACAAAAAAAGCGTTGGCAAGTTCACTTATCTATTTGGCCAAGAAAATATTAATATACCTGCGAATGATAAAAATAGAATGTTTATTTTGAAGAAAATTTACAACAGTATCGCAACGTGCATAAAAATTTATTTACAAATATTTACGTAAATAAAGAAAAGTTCAATGAAACAAAACATTTTAAAAAAACTACTACCTATGTCACTTTGCTTATTGCATATTACAAAAAAAATTGCTATAAAAAGAAAGTTTTGCTTATTTATAATTTAAAAAGACTATGAAGAAATTATAAAAATGTCTTGGATTAAAGTCTGCGCTTTTAATGCTATGAATCATACATGGTTTTGGACCTGATTAGCCAAAAAGTGTTTCTAATGAAGTTTTTGGCGCTGATCACGAATCTGCAGTCTACTAACAGGTTAGGTTTTGAAGCATTTTTGCCTATTTTTTAAATTCAATTGTCATTTTATTAAAAAATAGAAAAACAAAGTGCTTTGGAAGTGCGCCGTTTGTATTTTTTTTTGTTTCGTTTCACGTTCAAAAGACCAATAATTATTATAATTAATTAGCATTTTCTAATCCCAAAAACCTTTATTTCTTAATTATTTGCTCGCTTAACTTTGGGACACTGTCATAAGTTATAATAATTCTTGGGGATAGTACTAGTAAAGTAAACATTAGATTTTTTAAATATCAAATACGAGGAGCATATTGATAAGTAAGATAAGTAACTCGATATATTTATTCCAACGATACCTACTCTTATTAATTGCTTCCGAATAGAATGATTGCTCGTCAAAAAATGCATCTACAGCATTGGGAAGCCCATCCAACGATTTTTTCTGTTCTAGAAAAATAAAAGTCCCAGGGTGCCAAATTTGAAGAATACGGTGGATGCTGCAACCAAATTCCTTCATTTTTTCAATGGTTATAGCGAATTTGTAAGCTGGGGAATTGTCTTGATAAAACATGATTTTTAAATGTTCAGCGCCGAATTCCCATTTTTTCATATGTAAATGCAAAAGTTTCTCGACAAAAGGGCTTGTAAAATCAAAACTTGACAGAACTTGAACTTTGACATATTGATCTTAAATTTTGACTGTAATCCTGGTTCTTGTCAATCGTGCCAAATATTTATAGTTGTGGCGCCATCTTTTGTAAATTCGTACATTCGGACTTAATAATGGTAATACCAGGCTGGTATAAATTACCACGAGCAAGTTTTATTTAATTGCGCCATAATCATTGTGATAAAATATTTAATGAAATTAATAAAGAAGTAAAAAAACGTTTTTTTCATTTGAAAAAACTACTTTTTTTTCAAATCCGCTACAATAAGCATATAACATCAATCCTTAAAAATGAAGTATTTTTTCAATATGAAATTTTGAGCAAAATGTCGTCGCGTTTTAACACTCGACATAGCAACCTCTTAAAACATAAAGGCCTAAAACCCACAAATTATTACTAAATTCCAAATAAAATATAGTGCAATCTATAGTAAGTAGAGACTACCCTACGCTCAAGAAAGTGTGAAGTGATAGGTGTCAGCTACAGGGTGGTCTTAACACCTGTCAATTGGAAGCTTTTCACGAGGCAAACAAAAGAGGACAACCAAGGGAGGAAAGGGCCATCTGCAAAATATGATAAGTAACCTTAAACATCTGCATGACCTAACACATAATTTGCAACATTGGACACGACAGTTACCCAAAATTAAGTTAAGTTTGCTTAAAATCTACAAAAAACATAAAGTAAACAAAGGGCATCAGTAACAATAGTAACATTAGTAAGACAATAGCAAGCAAACGCCAAAAATAAAGACAAATAACAAAAAAAAAACCGCCCCATCCTACGGTCATTTAGACGAAAGCTGAGTAGGACAATAAATCTGTCATCAACAAACGCGTAAGGCAATAAACCCATTAATTTAAGAGAACTGCACCAACAAAATAAACTTTAAACTAAACGAGACCAAATAAACAGACACAATCCTACAAAACTTTATCTTATAGTACCTGTACCAATAAATATCTTTATCTATATCTAACTCAGCAAAGATGACTAACTTGCTTGGGCAACACAAAAATTGTTAGAAATTTAACACAACATTTAAAAAAAAACATAACCTATCGATAACTATCGGTTACCGATAATCGGTAGTTACATGGCCAACTACTGAACTATATATCAATAGTTTTCGACCCCAAGACTGAAGAATTGGTTTCGGACAGTGTGGCAGACAATAGACGTACAGCGTTTCCCTAATTTTCAGCATGGTAATTTTCGTCAAACACGGCCCGACCCGGCGACACACGTGCATTTATTAATAAATTAGTAATAAAAATTGTTAATTAAAATATTGTTGGTTTATTAAATGTTACAGTTACGCATTCTTTTTGATATTAAAATATTTTATAAAATAAATTTTAAATTTTATGGTCTCCAAAGATTGTGCATCTAGTTGACATCTTACAGTTTTATTGATTTTTTTTCAAAATTAAATACTGTTTGTAGGTATTACTTGTTATTTTAAAAATGTTTGGCTTATCAATGTTTCTTATAATTCACTTTATTATTTACTTTTTTATTAGTTATTTATCTTGGTCAATCAGTTTGGCAATAATGCATCAATAATTACTTAGAATTTCATGTAGAATTTAAAAATGAATTTAAAGACTTAAAGACCCCAGAAACTTTCAATGGACCATGAATGTGAAACACCCTGTAGTGGTGTTTTTTAGGTTGTGAAACCACTATAGAGATTCTAAAGCAATGTATAAGAGTCAAACTAAAAGACCAAGATTTTTATTACGTAAAAGCATACAATACTCGAAGAAAAAACAATGATTTAAAACAAAATACAAAAAGTATTAAAAATCTGTATAGGTTAAAATAATAAGAATGGCTGTATAAAAAATTTAAATGACGTGATTTCGTGAAACGGTGAGACATGGGTTTTTAACGTTTATTTTATGGTAGAAAATCGTGTTGAACTGTTATAGGTAGTTACTCTTTTTTTAAGACCAAATCAAAACAAACCCTTATTGGTCAATTCGGTGGTGGTGGTGCGTGCATAGCGCGTGACTGTATGACTGTATTTAGTAAATATCATTTGGTGGATAAATTTTAGTCTATGAACTGGACTGGAAAATAGGCAAATTGAATTAATCTTGAAAAAAACTAAAATATGAAGAAAAAAAAACAATGAAAAAAACGGATCGGTCTTTTTCAAGTCACATCTCTAGATATTAATCAAGTATTTATGAACAAGAAGCCTAATTAAAAGTCTAAATCCTTGGGACATACTGCCCTTTCAAATACAGGGTGTTTTATAATATATGCGCAGGACTTCAGGATGTGATAGCTCATCCAAAAAGATGAAAAAAGTCGCTAATAACTTACCCTCTAAAATGCACAATTTTCGAGATACAGGGTGTTGAAATTTTAGAATATCTCGGGAACTGTTTATCGTACAAAAAACAGCTTTTGTAAGCATTTTCTACTCAAAATAAGCTATGTTTTGTGCCAGAAAAATTTTTTTTTTATTCATAATTGGTGGAGATTTTGAAGGGGTAGCGGGTGTTTTTCTCCTCAACTTCTACGCCCCTGAAAAATGTACGGTTTTGAGAGACCTATTCGAACTGCCAATGTTTTCTACACAAAAAAGGTACTCTTGGTCACAAGCTCTAAAGTTGACCGTTTTAGAGAAAAATCAACTTTTATGTTTAAAAACATGGTCAATTTAAAAAAAAAATTTTTTTTTACTAATTAAACAAAATTTATTTTAACGTTAGAACAAGTAACAAAACCAAACCATAATTGCAAAATAAAAAATGATTCAAAAGTTGTCTTTGCTAAATTCTCCAAACCGTAAAGGTAACGCATTTCGAACATTTCAGCATTTGTGTAAAAAATCATTTTTTATTTTTTTTTAATTTTGCAATTATCGTTTGGTTTTGTTACTTTTTCTAACGTTAAAATAAATTTTGTTTAATTAGTAATAAAAATTTTTTTTCGAAAAATTGAACATTTTTTTAAATATAAAAGTTGATTTTTCTCGAAAACGGTCAACTTTAGAGCTTATGACCAAGAGTACCTTTTTTGTGTAGAAAACATTGGCGGTTCAAATGGGCCTCTCAAAACCGTATTTTTTTTTAGGGGCGTTGAAGTTGAGGAGAAAAACACCCGCTACCCCTTCAAAATCTCCACCAATTATGAGTAAAACATAGCTTATTATGAGTAGAAAATGCTTACAAAAGCTGTTTTTTGTACGACAAACGGTTCCAGAGATAATCGAAAAAAACGATTTTTTTTCTAAAATTTCAACACCCTGTATCTCGAAAATTGTGCATTTTAGAGGGTAAGTTAATAGCGACTTTTTTAATCTTTTTGGATGAGCTATCACATCCTGAAGTCCTGCGCATATATTATGAAACACCCTGTATATTTATACCCAAAGTTATACATATGCATAATATACAAAATACAAAATAATATACAAAAGTTTTTTTCTATATTTTTTTGAAATATAATTTTTAAAAAATATATATAAAAATATTTACCTTAATTCCTTCATGGAAGAAACAGTCCAATAATCTAATTAGATGATGGAATGGTAGTCCTTGAAATATCCACCATATCCAGTCCTTGTAAACGATTTCAGCTCTCGAACTGTTACAGTGTCGTTGTATATATCCTGCAGGTCCTTTCTGAAACAAAATAAATAAATATTATTTAATAAATAACTAATCAACATTTAAAAAAAATCATAATCTTAAAACAAATCCATAAATTTAAATTTTTAATTTAAGTTTAAAAATGATAAATAGGTTTTAAAAAAAGATTATTAATGGCAGTTACTTCGCAGATCCAATTTTCAAACTTTTTGCTTGAATTTTATTTACCTTGCAGTTTTACAAATGGTAAAATCGGAAAAACCGATAATTTTGGAATTATTTACAATTTATATTTTTTAAATCAATCTTTTAAATTTGTTTGTATTGGAAAAAAAATTATTCAGCTTCTTAAAACAACTCAGAAACATAGGTATGTAAAATTTTCGGAAATTTTCCCGGTAATTTTAGTATTTAACTTATTTTTAAATAATTTTCCTCGAAAATAAATGATTTATGCGTTATAAATATATTTCTAAAAAGATTTATAAATCTTAACTGTAAAAATAGGCCAATAACTGAATTCCAAACATTTATATTACATTACAAACACATTTTAGTAGCGTTATATTTGGAATTAATTTTTTCTTCGAAATATACAATATACATTAATTAATGACTTGCAAAAGTACCTCATCCAACTTATTTTTTAGCCCCCAGAAAAAATGTTCATATTCTTAAAAAATCTTAAAGGGTTTATACTGTCGTGCTAAAGCCGTCGTATCTACATTTTATACACATTGTCAGAAAGGGAAAATCTAGATTTTATACTAAGCCATGATTATTATTAAAGATTGGTCATATTATTGTGCATTATCATATTTTGGCATACACTTTCATAATTTTTATAAATTTCTTCATTTTGGATATATCCCATATAGCTATAGCTATAGCCCATAATACAGTTAATGTACTTATTAATAAAATTATTAAAATAAACAAATTTTGAATGTTAACATTAGCTAAATAAACGGTTTTTTTATTTAGCTTAGCTAAATCAATAATAAAATTGGCCAATTAAATGAATTATTTGTAGTAAATTTGACAATTTATCTAATCCTCTATAGACTATTTAAATTTAATAACGGGTCTAAACATAATTAAATTAGTCTTTGTTGCCCTAAAGACCCCATAGATGGCAGAAGAAAGCGATAGCCTCTGTTCTAGGATTTTAGAAAGATGTAATTGTCAAATTGACACAATTCGGAGGCACAATGCTATTTAACCAATTTTAATTAAAAGCTTTAATGGTATTCAATAATATTATTTTTTAGGACCTTTGTATTTATTGTATTTAATTGGTTAATTGATTTTTTATAACATTTGTATTTTTTTCTGGGCCATTGTTGTTAATTAATAAACAATAGCGATGAAACAATTAAAATCAACAGGAAAAAAATATCGAATTATCGGATTTAATACCAGAACAAGGTTAAATGAAAATTATCTGGTTAATTTTTAAACACGAGCGGTATTTAGAGAGAATATTTATTAAGTGAAAGTAGCAATTATTAGGGTTTTTCGTGTATAATGGTAACCAATATTAACGCGCCGCCTAGCAACGGGAATAATTAACTCATTATTCACGTTGCTATGTATCAGTAATTGGCTGCTTTTAATATTTACTCTAAGGGAACATCGATTAATTACGTGAGTAATTTTTCTGATAATTTGGACCCCCATCCCCTTGGTAAGATTTGGGGAGATGTGGTAGACCCCCCCTATCCCTCACGTGAGATTTTAGGCATTAAACTTTCTTTGCCGACAACATAAAAGTATAATTAATTTTTTTTAACAAATTTTAATTATAATACATATTTTTTAAACTCAAAAGTTGACGTAAGAATTTTTTTTACCAAAGTAGTATTTAAAAAAAATAGGAAAAGTTAATTTTTATTTAATTAATTTAATTTTTTAATTAGGAAGAAAATATATAAACATTTAGTGGTCTTGACTTTACCAATAGCAAGCTGGGCTACATGTTTAAATAAAATGGCTATCATACAGTTTTACAAATATCAGAAATCCGATAATTTTAGAAACAAAAACAGGTTATTTACTTAATAGAAAACTTCCAAAACTAAATTTAAACAATTTATGATTTTTAAACAAATCTTGCAAATTTGTTTCTATGGCACCTTCAGTATTGTGCGAATTAATATGAACACAATAGGTGTAAGTTAAATATTATTTATTGAAAAAAAAATAGAAAACAGTAGGTACTGGTTTATAAATATGTTAGTATTATTTAATATTATATTCTTTAACTCGTTTTGGCATAGAATCAATCAATTTTTTGCAATTTTCCTTGATTTTGTCATCTTGAAACCATACCTGAATCATCTTAGTTTTTGTTGTACAATCCATTTTCAGCAATCTGGACTTGCATATAGCCCACAAATTCTCAATGGGATTAATGTCCGGTGAGTTTCCAGGCCAGTCTAAAAGGGTTAAATTTTTGCCCTTGTGTAACTTAGTCATAATAACCGACAAAATGACTGACATTAGCAATATCTTAATGCAAAATGATAGGTTATGGTATATGTCAAGAAACACCTGTCAGAATTGTCACAGCAGTGTTCGAAGTTTAAATAATACATAAATTCCCAATGTTCACATTATTTCGCACAATATTAATTTTTTTTTGAATTTTCGGTTTACTTTATAACTTTATTCGTAAATTTATAAGATAATACTTAATAATACTTATTTAAATTACATTATTGTTTAACATTCCTTAAAATATAGGAATTGTTAAATTTTGTAGTTTATTTAATGCATCTTAATAAAGTTATCTATAGCATTTGGTTAAAGTGGGGCAATTTAACAAAAAACCGTAACTAATTGAATGAAATATAACATCCTTAAGAGAATCTCCTACAACTTCCTTAATTAAGTTGTCTTTGTTGCTTTATCATGTTGATAACAATAAAAATGTGTTTCACTTTGCCCCAACAAACAAAGATTACTTGACCATGGTAATGAACTCTTGTTTTATCAATATAAAATATTTTAAATGCGATAACAAGGTGTTTTTCTTAGTTGTTGTGTTCCAAAAATCGGTTGTGCCTCGTCATATTTACGTTTTAATACTATTTACACCCTTTAATTAAAAATAAATTTTATTTTATTATTATTATTTATTATACGTGTACGTGTAAAACAACCTGCTCTTCATTAAACAAAACCAGTTTTATTTTATTTATAAAAAATATATTGTTTGTATCGAGAAACACATACATCGAAAGGTACCTTAAAATATACTTTTAATCAGATTTTATTTTTTTTAGGTTTTAGTCGTTACAATATTTGTTGTCCCACAATCACTTAAAATTAAGACATTATACGCTCGAGAAAAAAAATTAACGAAGTAAGCTATTGTTACACTAGTTAAAAGATACCAATATTATTTCACTAGTGGAAAAAGAAGAAAAATAAGTCAATAATTATAAACAATAAATTACAGATATTTACATAAATATGATTTTTAACATTGTTCACATATTTAGAACGAAATTTTATTTTTATTAAATGATTATCGTTGAAAGAAATAACAAAAATAAAGGAGAAATAATTGAATTGAAAGTGATGTTAAATCCGTTTGACAATGTTAGATTGTATGGTAGTATACTACAGTAGACTATGATGATTTTTGGAATAAACTTCGTCAGTTCGTTCGCAATTGATAAGCAGTTTGTTATTGTTAATTTTAACTAAGTATAATAATTTACGTTTATTTGATGGAGGGACAAAATAATATGTAAAGAATGTTCGATTCTGAACTTGCATTCTTGCCTCCCCCCTCATCAAACGAATGCTCGTTACATATTATTTACAATATACCTACTATTTCTGCTATACGACATATTTTGTTTTTGATGTCTACAGTCCCAACTTAAGTACAATCCCGACTGACGTCGCCAAAAATGGTCAAAATTGACCTCCCTCCCTTGTGACAGAATGTGACGATGTGAATTTAATTTATTTATTATTTAATTCATATGTATATTCGTATACGAATTATAACGTTTATAATATTAACGCGATATCATAAGAAAGTTACATATATTATGTTTATACGCGTTTTTAAATTAATTTCCATCCTTGACACCATTGTTATGTATATTTACAGAGGTGATTTTTAAACTTAGGTAAAGTTCATAATTGATTTTAAAAACATTTAACGTTTAAAATTCAATTGTACAGCATAATATTAACGTGTTTTTATTTATAGTTGATTTTATATTTAACAAGTATAAAATCCAATATTTAGACATGCATAGTTTTTTAGTTTTTTACAAATTTATGTGTATAATTATAGTAAAAAACTCAATTTACAGGTCTACAACCGAATAACAAAGTTGCGTGTCGTCGAGTTCATAGTTTTCATAGTTAAAAATAAAATAATCAATACCATAAATAATAAACTAGGGACCACGGATTGCGCTGTTGGTTAACCAACTCCGACGCACTGTGATTCGTATGGCCTGAATAGTATTCGAAAAATTAATTTAAGAAAATGTATAGATTACATAAAGCGATAGTCTTTACAACCGAATGTACCACCGTACATGTAGTTTGTACTTTTACAAAACGAATTTACGAAAAAAATCTATGGATCAAAGTTTTATAGGTTAACGAAGAATTGCCGTCAAAGAAAGATTATAATCGTATTTAGCGATAAAAAGTGTGGAAATAAATCTAAACATCCCATATTTCAATTTTCTTCAGCATGTGTATCTGCAGAAAACTAATTTTTAGAAAATATTTTTAAGGTTAGGGGTAAACTGCTTAGTCTGCAATTTATAGTTGGATTATTTACGTACTTGGCGATAAAAAGTATAAAAATTTAACCTCATGCCAATCTTTAAAATGCTTTAAACAGCTATAAAGAAGGTAAAAATACATTTTTTGAGAGTTCTTTTAGGATAGGAACATACAGCTTTATGTCGACTCTGAGGTAAGGCCATATTTATATTAGGCAATGAGAAATACAAAAAACAAATGCAAAAATAGGTATCAAAAATGCATTTAGGGGCTGTAAATTTCACAAAACTGCTTTTTAAGTTTTTTTTGGGTTAGGGGCGAACCATTGTGTAATCAGCGGAAAAAAAACATAGAATCACTGATAATAGATTAGTGCATATAATCAAATTCAATTTTTAATTTTATAACGCTGTTAGTTAATGTAAACTACCTAATACGATTTTTTTAAAGTGATGTATATTGCTTGCAGTCACTATATTGACACCGCCATTTTGAAATTTTACAAAATACCACTCGGCATTTGAAAGTTAAGACGATAAGCTAAAAATTTATCAGTTGCACGTTTCGAAAAACTTTAGTCAATTTTGCACAGGAGGAGGTGACCGAGTTGACATGGAATGCCTCATATATATATTGATATATCAAATAAAGTCGTTTTATTATTATTATTATTATTATGACAGTGTTTAAACAAAAAGTTGAATTTTTCTACTTGTACCTACATAAATGGTACTTAATAATAAATAGTGATGCAAAATGCTCGAGCATTTATTTTTGTAGAACATTCTCCGAGCACGAACGAGCATTAATAAGCCTTTTAAGGTAAACACCTTCTTTTCTTAGCAAGTGTGAACTCTTCGTAGAAAATTGAAAAATGGTCATATTTCGTTGATTTTTATTTGTTCTTGGCGAAAAGGAAATGTTGCATTCTTATTTTTGTCCAAAAAACGCCCATTGCACTTCAACTACTTAACTGATAGTGATAGTGACACTTTTTACAACCAGGTTGGCCGTTTTTAACTCGAGATTGTCAAAAATTGTAAAGATTCATTCGAAAAACAAAAAATAAAAATTCAAATCTCGAAAACCTTGCCATAAAAAATTTTATTGTGATTTTTGAGTTTATCTGGACAAAATACATTAGAAAATAATAGGGGCATCGAATGTACAGTTTGGCTGTAAACCCTCTCAGAAGGAGTAAGCGACATAAACGTACAAGTCGGTGCTGGAGGGGGTGCAATCAAAACAAAGTAAGAGAATTCTATTAATTTTGAAATAAAACAAAAAACAGCAAGGCAGGCGAAAGTGGGTGACACAAAATAAACAAACAGTCGTATTAAAACGCAGTCACAGTCACATCAAACAATTTGATGAAATATATTCAAAGATCTACCGATCCTTGTACTCGTCTCAGGATGTCGGTGGATTTCCTGGAACACTGCTTCTTAAATTCAGGTGTGGAAAACTACCAGTTTCTTAAGATGCCGATGAATATTCAAAAAGAATCGGGCATGGCACGATTAGGATATCTTTCACGATTTCTCGAAGACAAAAAAGGATTATAAAAAATTTCCATATTCAACTTTTGGGTTAGAATTTTTTGAAAACATGACTTGATAAAGCAAAACCGACTACAAATTACTTTTACGAAAGCGTACTGGGGTCAAAAAATTATAATGGGTATGTACATATATTTAAATTGAAATACCCATGTTGTTGCCCTTTTGTCCCTCCATTTCATTTTCTTTTTTGTTTAATAGTACCTACCTATATTTCTGGGCCCAAAAGTAAATAGAGTGTAAATTTCCTCAGAAAAAAGTCCCCTCTACCTTGTTAAGCCCTTTACCCAAAACCTACTGTTTCTATTTGAAGAGCAAGCACATAATTTAAAAATTAAAAAAAAAATAAGTTGAACATGGTCTAAAATTTAAAATTCAAAAGTATTTAAAAAATAAGACAAATATTTTTAAACACAATTTTGGTTTTATTTTATAATCCTTATTATTTATTAAATAGTAATTTTTTTAAATTATCTGGGCATTTTATTAAAAAGTAAACATTTATGGAAGGTATGTACGCTTTTAATAATAAAAAAAAAATTAATAAATATTTTCACCCAAGTTCAATGTTAGGGGTAATTGTTTTACAATGAAACCAAAGAAAGTTATAAATTTCAAGCATTCAGCTTTTTAATCAGACAAAAAAAAACAGTAAAGTTATTTGGTAGTAGTTTTATCTTTAAAAAATGTTATTTTTTAATTATATCTTTGTTATAGGTATGTTTTGAATTAATTTTTTCATATATATTTACAAACAAAAATACTGTCTATTTTTATCCATATTTTAAATCGGTCGTTAACGACTGATATAAATTATATCAACCGATTTATATTTTAGATGATTTTATTGGCCAAAAAACAAATCTAGTAAACCATGACTTATATTAGCGAAATTATTTTCTTTGGTTAAAACCAAATGTCACAAATGTCAAATAAATATTTATGACATTTTAATGGTTTTATGTCTAATTTAAAATGTATAGAAATCTAAATATAAACGTTGAAGGATAATTACCCAATTTATTTTATAAAACAATAGTTTTTAAAGAAAAATGCTGTCGTGCAAAAACCTATTTTCACTGATATACAAAATCAGTTGATATAAATAAATTAACGTTTCTACATACGGCCCTAAGTAGTCGTGTATACGTATCAGAATACAAACAAGATCTGCTTTAACTAACTGTGCGAGGACAGACAATTTTAAGTTTTTTGTGAATTAGATCGTTTCCGAGTAGTATAATTTCACCATTTAGAAGATAAGAGGGCAAGACTTTGCCAGTGAGTTACAAATACGAGGTTTGTTCAGAAAATAACGGGAATTGTTAAATTTCGCGGCTTCGGAGGGTCCGGTTGTCATAAAATTTTATTTATTATGTTGGTATACATGCCCCCGAAGTATGATAAAAACTTTAGCTGTTTTAATTGTTTACTTTGCCTGTGGCAGCCGCTAAGGTTAGACGTGTTTCATGAGCTCGGCGATTTTCGTTCGTTAAAAGAAATGGATCAAAGAGAATTTGCATCCAATTTTGCTTAAAAAATGAAATAAATTCTGTGAAATGTTAACAAAGGCCTTAGTAAGTCTGCTATAAGTAAAACAAGAGTTTCCAAGATGGCCGTGGAGACGTTGAAGATGACGAACGCCCCGAACGCACAAGCACATTAACAACCGATAAAAACATGGAAAAAGTGGAAGAAATGGTTATAAACCATCAGAGAAGTCGCTAAAGATGTTGGTATATCGATTGGCTCATCCCAATTTTTTCAAATGTTTTGGGTATGAAACGCGTGGCAGCAAAATTTGTTCCAAAATTGTTAAATTTTGAACAAAATTTTTGGCCAAAAACAATACTGTAATGATGCCCCAGCCTCCATATTCGCCAGACATGCCTCTGTCTGACTTTTTCCTATTCCCAAAAATAAAGAGAACAGTCGTTTTGCAAGCATAGATGACATTAAAAGCGCATCGCTGAAAGAACTAAAGGCTATCCCAAAGAGCGAGTTTTAGAAGTGTTTCAAGTATTGGAAGAAGAGCTGGCACATTTGCATAATATCCAATGGGGACTATTTTGAAGACGACAACATTAATGTAGACGAATAAATAAATATTTTTTTCAAAAAACGAAAATTCCCGATATTTTCTGAACACACCTCGTAAATTGTAGTCTTGCATTTTTTTATTTCTGAAGTCATAATTTTTCCTTATATTATGCTCATGGACGTTTGTTTTGATGTTCTTGTTATGGATGTTGTGAATGAGTTTAGCCTGCTCAATTTTTTTAGTAATGCCTAATTTGCGGAATTTTTGTTTTTATAGACCTCCGTAGACGTATATTTACTAAATCCATATATTGTTTTCACAGCCTTGTTTTGTACCCTTTTTAGTTTATTTAATAAATATTCAGCAGCATTTCCCCAGCAGAATTAAATATCTTAAGTGTGGCATGATAAAACTGTTGTATAACAAGTCTTTTGAATTACTAGTTAAAACAAAACGTTGGACACATTTGTATTACTCGCTTAAAAAAAACAAATATTTAATTTTGTACTATGTACCTACTTAAATTATACAATTGTATAAGAAATTAATCATGTTTTTAATAGTGGGCCATACAAACAACATTATTTACATTTATTTGCGCCAATAAAAAAGTAATTAAAACTAGACTTAGGTATTTACATTTATGTACAAAAAAATGGTTTTTAAAATTAATAAAATTTTATTTTACTTTTCCCCAAATTTATAATTAAAGTAGTAGTAGTAAATCAAAAAAATATTTAAAAAAAACCCTGAAATCTGAAGATTTTTACCCGCTGAAAAAAATCTGCATTAATTTTTACGAATTTTACTAAATTTTTTTAGCAAAACAAAACTAAACATTTAAGGATGCGCACTCTCTAAAAATAAATTAGTTTATTAGTTATTAGAGGCTGCTTTTTCACTTGTACCATGGTTAACCATGGAATACCATGGTATCCCAAAATTTAAAAGCAAATTCTTATGTAAAATTGTCCCCTGAATCCGAGAATACCGTCAAAAATTATAAAAGTGGAGCAGTTTTTGAGATATATTCAATTCCATATTAAATGGAAAATTGACTCATTTTTAGATAATTATAAGTATTTGTCGTAGAAAAAGTTCTAGACACTTATTTATATCGCTGGCAAGCTCGCTCGTGCATAATTAAAATTCGTGACTAAAACGGCGTTTATCAAACTTGATACTTAATATACTTTTAAGTTCGGTAGTTGTCGAGTAAATAAGAACATTATGACAATATTCCTTAGCTTCGTATATTTTGCCGAACCCTATATTTCTACACAAAAAAAATTACCAAAATAATATACGTACCACATGCTTCTTACAAATTTGCATTACTGTTTTCCACGTCACTTCATTTAATAGCTTTGTTTGTGTGATAAATGTTTTTTCTTTCGACGCCACTAAACTAGCCATACAATGGTAACAGTCTTCCTCTGAAACAAAAATAATATGTGTAAGATTGACAAAATAAATATATAAATAAGGTCTAGAAATAGAATACATGTATGCATTTGTAATGTAGTAAGTCGACAAATTTAAACAAGCCTACGACCCTGATGAAGTTGACAAAACAATATTAATGCTTAAATATTAACTTTTTTTTATTACAACTGATAATCAAAATTAAGAATATAATTATAAAGTATACTTTTCAAATACAAAGCAAATGATTTAAGTAAAAGAACAAGTACAATACCCTGGAGTAAGGCACAGTTCTGATTTTACAAAACTAAAAAAATATTTTAACCAAAATATATTAACCTAATTTTTAACACTTATATATTACGAATATAGAATATTTTAAAATGTAAAAATTAGTATAGTTAACTACCTAAAACAAATCTTATTTTTTGCCAGACCAAGTCAAAATTTTACCAATTTTTATTATTTTGAAAAGATTATTATTAGGTATTCACTACACTTTTGTTGAGGGGCATTCCACGTTACTCGGTAATTTTTGTCCCGCCCGTCACAATTAAAAATTGTGAGTAAAAACCACAAGATATTAAATTAATATTTTATAATATTATTTGTATTGTGCTTATAACTTATTAAAAGCATAATAAACAATATTTTAAAATAAATTTTATAACGTGTAGTTTTTACTCACAATTTTTAATTGTGACGGGCGGGACAAAAATCCCCGAGTAACGTGGAAAGACCCTTGAATATGTGCAAATTGTGAGCCATATTATAGTATATTATGTATCAAGTTTGATAAACGCCATTTTAGTTACGAGTTTTAGTAGACACGAAGCTTGCGAGCTAGTGTTTAATAAAATCGAGTGTCTACAAAAGTTTATAAATGAGTTGCATGCTATATTTTATATACAACGAACACAAGATAGTAGTTTACATAACAAGAGTGGTAAGTAGCAATTTACGCACAAGCGTAATTTCTTTACCACTCAAGGAATGTTCACTACTAGTATACTTCATCCAGAACACAACATTTATAACCTTCTGTAAATTTTTAGATTTGAAATTAAAATAACTTTAAATATTGTCACCATAATGTTAGTAATAAACCAAACAAGCAAAAATTCCCTAGCACAACTGTTATGTAACTATAACAACTATACATGTATACATCTCAATCCCATGAAATTTTACAATTGTGCGATTTTTCAATACTACACAACACTATGCGTAATGTACTGTTTTCCTAGGTTGTCAGTTGTACAAAATTATGAGTTTTAAGCCTATGTCTGATGGTGCAACTTCTCGCGGTGACCAGGTCGTTAGGCAACTTTGCATTAAAGTTTTGTTCTGTGACTACTGCGCCCTCCAGCGGGTGTAGTCAAAAAGAGATATTCAAAAAATGGTTTAAATTTTTGTACTGGATTGAACTGATACTTTTTTTACTAGATAAATAATTCTAATATTTTTCTAGTGAGGAATAATAAAACTAAATTTTTCTAATTATTATTTTATTTGTCAAAGTTAAAAAATATATAAACGCAAATATTCAAAACACAACTTAAAATCAGTCTACATCATATAAACTCAGTGCCGGTTTAAGTTAGTTCGCCGCCCGGTTCTGGCAAAAACACAACATGCTTTAAAATATTACTTTTTTAAAAACATTTTTAAATTTTTAAGTCTTACTTTCTTACGTCAAGTGGAAGATTAGGTTGGTTAGGCTGGTATCTAACAGTAAACTTAGTATCCTATAAAATATAAAATGAGCCTTTATAAACAAATTATAAAAATTAATCAAAAGTACTAACTAAAAAATAAAACATTCTTTGGTTTATATAAACAATACTAAGTACTAAGAAAAACTAATCAAAAGTTATAAATAAATAAAACATTATTCTTTGGTTTAAATAAATATTGAGAAATCCTAATACTAATAATTAAAAGGTTGTTTTCAAGTCTTTATAGAAGCAAATTGTTTTATAACACTTTACATTTATTTCATCTAGCAGGTCTGGATAAATGGACAGAATTGCTAAGGAGTTAAATCTTTCTTGGGGAATTGTATTTCTTAGGTAGTTCTTTACCCTTTTTAGAGTAGAAAAAGATCGTTCACCACTTGCATTTGAAACCATTATAAAAAAAATTCGCAGACAATTATTAATATTCGGAAATGAAGATATTAATTTATTTTCGTATAAAACTTATACTAATTCCAATGTAGTTTCTATTTTTATTTCCGAAAGGGAAATTACCAGTTTCTTGAGTTGGACACATTTTTTAGGAAAAAACTCATCCAAATCCTCCACGAAGATTTATGCTTTTAGATTAAACAAAAATTCAAATTTGTTTGTGCCAGATTTCTAGCTATCATATCGACAAATGATTTCGGATTATAGATTGTCAATTATTAAAATAAAACATATTGTTCGCATTGTTTCTTTTTTGCTTAAACTTGCCTCTGAATTATTTTCTTCAAATTGTAATTTTCTTATGATTATCCGCTTCTGAGCATAATTTACGTTTCCTGTTAATTTCCTCGTAATGATCAAAATGATATCACGTAAAAAATCAAAGTTCTCAAATAAAAATGACAAAAGATGAGCATTTGTGCTTAAATCCATATTTTGTTTTTGGACTGCTTTATTGGTTTCATTAACCCTTTGCAAAACGTCTATCCAAAAAGTTCAAATTATTCAGTTTCCAATAAATCCAGTTTTTCTGATGGAGAAGCTGCTTTAACTCTAACAACATTTTTCTCATTTGTATCCGTTGTATCCGCCGACGCAGTGTCGCAATAATTTTTTTTCTAAATTCTAACGATTAAGTATTTTTTTTTAAATTATGGGCGGTACGCGGTACCGCCCCAAAAATATTTACCGCCCGGTGCTATAGTCCCCAAAAAACCCCTGTTAAACCGGCACTGTATAAACTTATCTTACTATTCCATTCCTAATCTTAGGTAAAATATGTATAAATGAGGAGGTCCATTCCAAAACTCTCTTTACCACTCAAGGAATGTTCACTACTAGTAATAATAATAATAATAATAATAATAATAGGCTTTATTTCAGAAGACATAGAAACATTAGTATACTTCATCCAGAACACAACATTTATAACCTTCTGTAAATTTTTTAGATTTGAAATTAAAAGAACTTTAAATATTGTCATAATGTTAGTTATTATTTTATTTGTCAAAGTTAAAAATATATAAACGCAAATATTCAAAACACAACTTAAAATCAGTCTACATCATATAAACTTATCTTACTATTCCATTCCTAATCTTAGGTAAAATATGTATAAATGAGGAGGTCCATTCCAAAACTCGGCTTATCCACTTTTTAATAAAAATGAGTTAGTGGTGTCTGTACATTTAACATGAAAATGTCATAATATTCTAAAACTCAAATTGACTATCGTTGCCTTACATATAGCGTTGAGTGAAGAAGTTCCTTAGTCAATGCATATAGCTAATATCATATCAGAACTGGGTTATACTTTAGTTTTTCACAGTGAAAGTAAAGAAAATGTTTTATGAGCATTTCACGGTGGAGTCCGAGACAAAATTTAAGTTATATCCAGTCTGCAAAATTAAAAGGTCAGTACAATGTTCATATAAACTTTTCAAATATTGGCGTTGAGAAACTATTTCATGATTTTGTATTTTTGTATTGACATAATAAAATCATTTTCACATTTAGTATTATTTTACAAGAAGGGCTCTTTATTTCAACGATTGTATGACATTTGACAACTGCCAACTAACTTAAAGCTGACTTCAGCCAGTGACTAAAAACCTGTTGCTAACTTCAACCCGTGACTAAAAGGCCATAAAGCCACAACTTGTCAATGTGTATTTAAAAAGTCACTTAGTGTCAAGGTAACCTGTACGGTAAGGGGCGTTTTTAAGGTTGGTGTAGAAAAAATACTTTTTCTACTCCTCTTGCGGAATATGACCGTTCTAATATCACTTTTTAATGTGGAATGACATATATTCCTGAAAGTATTATAGAATTAATTATTCTAACATCGGATGACGGAATAAACACTTGTGGCGACATCTATGTGTTTAATATATACCATATTTAGACCGATCCAACCTTTCTCCCAATTAAATTAGTTTTTATTTCTATGTTATTTTTTGGATACATAGAAAAAGTATAGGCTGAAAAACGTTTGGAATTGCATATTCCGCTCTCAAAACCGTCAACTTTTCACTCTAACGGAATATGCCGTATTCCAAACATGTTACAAAATATACTATTACAGGATTATTAGTTAATAACTAGTACTAGTATAACTGTGAACGTAATCATTTTTTAGGTGGTTAGTATAAAACAAAGGAAATTCTAAAAAAATTCCATGTTGCATAATGTGCAATGCACATGTCACGTGACGTGACTCACGTCACGATACAGCCCTAAAAAATTAAACTGTACAACATGAAAAAAGTGCCAAAGTTGTTGATTTTTTTTTGTAAGTTAAACTTTGGCGATTTAGCTTAATTTTACATATATGTAAAATTGAGCCAAATCGAAGATGACGTGTTTTGAGCTGTTCAAATTTTAAAAATTATTAACGTTATTTTTAAAGCGCATAATTTCCTCTTTCCATAGATAATGAAAAATGAATATTGGGCGGAAGCGAGAACCCTATACATAAATAAATTCCAGAACAAAAAGACAAAAAAAGAATTATAAACTAATAATAATACTGATTACTACTACTAGGTATTGGAATTATTCTCCAAGTTGGATAAATTTTAGCGGGTTTCTTACTCAACCTAATTTTTATTAATCTTTATATATTATTTATAATCATTTTAGGCCAACAGCAATAAATTAAACTATTATTTCCGTAGATAGTGTTGGCTCATCGTCGAGTCGCCTTACAGCGCTCGCACAGCAAGAACAACTTCCGGATTTCTCCGGTTCTAATAGATGAAATCCACTGATTTTGTTGTTAGTAATGTATTAATCTTTTAATATGTTTAATATGAGTTTTGGCA